TGACATATTAGTTGGTGGCCATGAGAAGTTGATGGTGTAGGTGACTATGTTGTAACTCATAGGGGTTGAGGTATAGGTAGGTTGTGTGTTGAATTTACTGCACCATGTAGCAGTGGTACATGGATGGTCTTGTTTGGTATATCCAAGATAGGGGACCATACGCATTCTAGGAGTGATCATGCTTGGTATATTCGCGATGGGTGATCATTACCTAGAGCTATAAGATACAGTTCTGCTTGGTATATCCGCGATGGGAGACTGTTAGAGGTGATCATGCTTGGTATATTTGCGATGGATGATCACTATCTACGTTATTAGACTATGCATATGGTTCTACTTGGTATATCCGCAATGAGGGACCATACGCATTCTAGGAGTGATCTTGCTTGGTATATCCGTGATGGGTGATCACTACCTAGAGTCAGGATGTGGTCTTACTTGGTATATCCGTGATGGGGGACCATACGTATTCAGGGGTGATCATGCTTGGTATATCCGCGATGGGTGATCACTACCTGCACGATGAGATTATGCCTATGGTTCTGCTTGGTATATCTGCAATGGGGGACCATACTCATTCTAAGGGTGATGAGGATTAGTTATACTTGGTACATTTGAAATAGGCAACCATAGTTTAGTTAGATTCCATTGAGTGGTCTGGAATCCCTACTCTTGCTCACTTCCATAAAGTTAGCCCGACCCCTAGATGCGAGTTAATAGGAATTGTTCACGATAGGCATTGTGTTTATTAATTGGATTGATCATTTTATTACTTGGAATCCAGGTAGGGAATTATGTTGAATTCCTTTATTAAATTTCGTGAATTGATATGCGATCTTGTTGATTGATTAACGTAGTTAAATGTTAATATCATGCATCTGTGATTCATGGAATTAATTAATTGAAGTGATTATGGAATGATGTTGGGTATGATTATTATTATTATTATTATTATTATTATTATTACGGTATTAAGTTGAAATATAGTGATTTATATGATGGATGAATTGGAAATCTTGATTGTCATGTTGGTTGTTATGTAGCCCTGAGTCTAGTAATTTCATGTTTGTCAAGTTCTAATGATTGATTGAGGAATGTTATGCCTTTCGGTTTGAACGGACTGTGACATATGTCGAATTGTAGTGCATGGTGAACTACGAATGACTTGATCCTTTTTTTAAGGTACGTAGGCAATCTAACGAGGAGGTTAAATGCAGTCATAAAGTATACGAAAATTTCTACGCAATTCGAATCTTGAATTATGATTTGTATACATCCCGGAGGTAGGGTCTGTTGGATATACAGATACTTGGTAATGTCACATGTCGATTCTGGACATATGTCGGGATCGAGGCGTGACAGGTAAAGTTAGGGACAGTATCGGTATCATTAGAGTGGGACGGGCCCGGCAATCCAAAATTCCAACAGTTAAGTCATCTAATATTAAACTCAACTAGCCTTTCTAAACACGTTAACGCTAATGCAAAAAGGTTTTTGATAACGAACATATTTTACAATAAATGATCTGTTATGCTAACAATATATGTCATTGCCAGACCAAAAACCAATTAGGTTTCATCCCGACTACCAATATGTTGAGGAAAAGCCAATATGTTGAAGAAAAGCACGGAAGAGGAGGAGGAGAAGTTGAAGTTGTCGGAGAAAGCGGGGATAGTGCTGATGAACCAAACAAAATCGGCAATTTATGCGGTTGAGCAAGCAACAGGATGCATGGGAACTGCACTTATGAACACTATCTATGTTTCAACTGGTGCTATAGGCTTTTCCGAAGTACTTGATAACCCTAATTCAATATAACCCTAATTCTACAAACCATGCATGCATGTACATATCGGTGTCTTAAAATTGCGTGTACTTCTTCATATTGGCACTTAATAGTCAGTTTATGAATAATATAGCAATCGTGTATATGTAATGAGTAATGTTAGGGAGGCCAAATTTTTTAACCCAAATTTGCAAACTAAATGATGTGGTTGGAGATAATTGGATTATTAATTAAATGTCGATTAACGTGTTTGTTTTTTATTGGTGACATATCATTTATTTGCAATTTGGTTTTAAAAAAATTGATTTTCTAGCATTACTCATATGTAATTATAAGATTGAAACATCAACATTATTGCTAACATCGACAATATATCTGCATTTTAAAAAAAAATGTAGCTAGTAGTATTGTAGGATATTTTCAAACGTGTAATAATTTGTTTGGGAGAACATTTCGATGGTCTATATTACATTATGTAACAAGTATCTAGGTCTTAATATGTAATGAGCTTGTGTGTGAATGTGTGCGAAGACCCTGCAAGTCTACAATAAGATATGTTTTGGACTGAAATTGGAATTGTTGGTTATATTTATAAATTATTTTTTCTTTTGAATTTTTTTCTCAACATTCATATTGACAACACTGTATCAAATAAATATAATTCGATCGTAGATAAAAGGATCGAAGGCCCAAGAATAATTCTATGTGGATTTGGCCCGAAGCAAATAATATCCAGTTTGTGAAAACTTAGTAAACTAAACCAGGGGTGTGCCGACGACGATATCGGGCCTCCCAGGGCTAGATTGTCATCGACGAGACAGTGTACTTGGTGGCCAGCGAAAATGGAGGGATCAGAGGCTGGAATTTATGGGAATCATCCGTACGCCCCGAGGGATCTAAAGCTACCGGGATTCGTACCTGGCTTTCTCTCACAGTCCACCATTGTCGGCGTCTACGGCGCCTCCTCCCTACTCGTCGTTTCTCTCACCTGGCTCTTCTCCGGTACTCCTCCTTCCACTCCACTTCTCATCAGATCCTAAATTTATTCAGCTCAATTCTCTAAACATTGTAAATTGTTCAAGTAATGTGATGCGTGAATTGGGTTTGTAGGCACAGGCAGAGCACAGAAAGTTTAGACTTTTGAGATCCAAAAAGTTCATATTTTTATTCAACTTTTTTGTATGATTGCAAATTCATCGGCTTGATTTTTTCATGTGTTGATTACATATTATACTTTAAACTAATCTAAAGTACGGAGATTTGGAATTCGAACTCGGGTGCAAAGAGTAACACATTCATTCTGGCCGATGTTACATGGCTTCGCCCACTTATGCTGTGTTGACTGATCCCGCTAGCCTTCTTACTGTTTAAGATTTTGAGCTTTGAATATCGCAAAATTTATATGCTGCACAATGTAAAATTTGATTTTCAAATTCCAATCTCAAACTAGATGAATTTGACTATAAAATAGTAGGGGGAAGAGTGATGATTGATAAATTGATTTCAAACTTTGACCAGTAACCAGATAAGAGAGTATGTATAGAGAGTTGAACCAAAAGTAAATTTGACCACTCATATATCGTTCTAGAAGAGAGATTTTTATGTGTTTAGAAAACAAGTTGATGTATTATCTATTATTATATAAGTGAAAAGAAAATTAGTGCATGAGTAGAGAAACACTTGAAAAAAAAATTACGTATTTCGAATTATTTTTATAAGAAACACTTATGCTTATAAGTGGTTTTACCAAAAACATTTTGAGATATTTTATTTATTTATTACAAATGAAACTATTAGTCTAAACTACACTAAGGCCCTGTGGGGAGGGTTTGAAATTGAGATACAGTAAGTCGAAGAAGAATGTCCTGATTACGAAACTAATCTACCACATGTAAACATTTTTTAAAAATTACTTGAAAGTGGTTAAAACTGAAAGTGTTTATCCATTACCTAAAAGGAGTTCGAACATTTTTTGTTAAACACAGCTAAAAAACGTTTTTAGTTTTTACATAAACAATCTCAATGGATGTGGGTTGCAATGTATGGCTAAGATTCAAACGTTTTAGATGATTACAATGCTTATATATTAGGACGAGGATTATCTCCCCTCTCTTTTCATCTCCTCCTCTCACCTTCTTTATTTTGTCTTTCTTTTTCTATAAAAAATTATTATAAGATGTTGACGTGGATTAACCATGACCGTTCTAATATTTTTTTTAAAAATTGGAATGTATTGGATTTTTATAATTTTGAATTTTCAATCCGATTTTTCAAGGTGTTCCAAACTCATTTCATTTTTTATTCGAAATATTTTGAATTTTTTTTGGTTATTACTCAAATTATGTATTTTGTAATTAACTTTGAGACCCCTATTTTATTTTCAGTTTGGGATACCATTTGTTTATTATTTTTATATTAAACATATACTAATACATTAAAATGTATAGGCACACTAATATCCAAATATTTAATTGAATTTAGAGGTAAGCCTATACTAAAATGTATAGAAAGAACATAAAAAATTCGACCATATTCAAAACCTATAAATTATATGAATTTTCGATATGTATTGAAATTTCTGAGATTAATCGATTCCAAAAATTTCAAATTTGATAATTGTGATCTGATCTGATTCTAGAATTTTGAAACCAAAATTGAAAACGTAATTTCCCATCTTGTTTGTCTAAAAATCACTCATATATTTATCACACTAATTAAGTTTCAATAGATATTTCATATTTGAACGAGTAATACTACACTTACGACATTTTCTATATCACATTTGTACCATCTCTCTAATAGAGGTAAGGCCCACCATCTCTATCAGAGATATGGTACAAATGTGATATCAAAATGTGGTAAGAGTAGCATTTTTTAAGGAAAAATTCTTGGACTTGCACTACTCATGTGCCTAACTAATAATGTCATATTGCCATATAAAACATGCACGCGTTATCCATTCATATCATACCACTCGAATTCGTTATAATACCTTACTACATAAATTCTAGTATCATACAATGATTTTTCCCTCTCTTATCATGTTGTCACGACTAAAACAGAAAAAGAAAAGGGAACCAAGAATAAGTTGTTATCTACTTTATACCCTAGTTGTATGTTTTTTTCAAAATCCCTTATCAGGTTTGGATTCTAATTCGAAGCATTTGGCTTTGTATTGTACAATGAATAATCAGACTATGAAGTTTAGTAGAAGGCGGATGGTGAGTAACTGTGAAACATAATAATATGGCCACAGAAGATTTAACTGTTCAGGTTCTCAACCTTGCTCCAAGGGTGACTCTTGCAGAATTGAATACCTTCTTCTCTTACTGTGGAACTGTTCAACAAATCCAGCTCCTGAGGCAAACAACCTCCAAATTATTAACTGCTTGATCATTCTGTTCTGATTGAACTTTTGTTGATCAATTTGTTCTTATGTAACTTTTGTTGATTAATTTGTTCTTATTTAACTTCTGTTGATTAATTTAATGTTAATTATTTCATAATTTGCAGGGATAAAGACCAATTACCGTATGCCTTAGTGACTTTTGTGCAGCCCTATACTTTTCAAACTGCTCTTCTCCTTGATGTAAGCAGCCAAAAAAATCTGTTTATATTTCAAATCTTAGTATTTTAATTGCTTTATTTTATTTTGTTTTAATCAATTTATTAGTGTGGCTGAAAGGAAGGGAGTGATCACTTTGCAGGATGCTACCCTTGGAGGCCAACCAATTGGCATATTACCTGCGTATGATATAAGAATTCCTATAGTTTCAGATGAAGACGTTAAAGATGATCACACCCAGGTTAAGTCATCTAATATTAATCTCAACTAGCCTTTCTAAACACACTAACGCTAGTGCGAAAAGGCTTTTGATAACGCACATATTTTACAATGAATGATCTGTTACGCTAACAATATATGTCATTGCCAGAACAAAAACCAATTAGCTTTCATCCCGACTGCCAATATGTTGAGGAAAAGCCCAACTGCCAATATGTTGAAGAAAAGCAAAGAAGAGATGGAGGAGAAGTTGAAGCTGTCGGAGAAAGCGGGGAGAGTGCTGATGAACCAAACAAGATCGGCAATTTATGCGGTTGAGCAGGCAGCAGGACGCATGGGAACTGCACTTATGAACAATAACTAAGTTTCAGCTGGTACTAGAGGCTTTTCTGATGTACTTGATAAAGCCTCAAGGTCTGCCTCAGAGTTGGGAATTAGGAAGAGAGGGAAGTAAATTCAATATAACCCTAATTCTACAAACCATGCATGCATGCACATACGAGTCTCTTAAAGTTGCATGTACTTCTCTCTATTGACACTTAATAGTCAGTTTATGAATAACTTAACGATCGTGTACATGTAATTATAAGATTGGAGTATCAACATTATTACAAACATCAACGAGATATCCGCATTTTAAGAAAATTGCAGCTAATAGTATTGTAGGATATTTTCAAACGTGTAATAATTTGTTTGGGAGAACATTTCGATGTTCTATATTACATTATGTAACAAGTATCTAGGTCTTAATATGTAATGAGCTTGTGTGTGAATGTGTGCGAAGACCCTGCAAGTCTACAATAAGATATGTTTTGGACTGAAATTGGAATTGTTGGTTATATTTATAAATTATTTTTATCTTTTGAATTCTTTTCTCAATATTCATATTGAGGACAGCGTATCAAATAAATATAATCCGATGGTGGATAAAAGGATGGAAGGCCCAAGAATAATTCCATGTGGATTTGGCCCGAAGCAAATAATATCGGGTTTGTGAATATTTAGTAAACTAAACCAGCGGTGTGCCGACGACAATATCGGGCCTCCCAGGTCTAGATTGTCATCGACGAGACAGTGTACTTGGTAGCCAGCGAAAATGGAGGGATCAGAGGCTGGAATTTATGGGAATCATCCGTACGCCCCGAGGGATCTAAAGCTACCGGGATTCGTACCTGGCTTTCTCTCACAGTCAACCATTGTCGGCGTCTACGGCGTCTCCTCCCTACTCGTCGTTTCTCTCACCTGGCTCTTCTCCGGTACTCCTCCTTCCACTCCACTTCTGATCAGATCCTAATTTTATTCAGCTCAATTCTCTAAACATTGTAATTTGCTCAAGTAATTTGATGCGTGAATTGGGTTTGTAGGCACAGGCAGAGCACAGAAAGTTTAGACTTTTGAGATCCAAAAAGTTCATATTTTTATTCAACTTTTTTGTATGATTGCAAATTCATCGGCTTGATTTTTTAATGTGTTGATTACATATTATGCTTTAAACTAATTTAAAGTGCGGAGATTTGGGATTTGAACTCGGGTGCAAAGAGTAGCACATCCGCTCTAGCCGATGTTACATGGCTTCGCCCACTTATGCTGTGATTACCGATTGCATCCGCTCTAGCCAACGTAGCTACACCCGTCTGTGGTGATTACTGATTGTTAAAACTTGGGAATTCTTTCATAAGGAATAATCCCAATATAATTTATAGTCGCATTTTAGATCATGGTTTTGATGTTTTTTATGTATTGGCAATGGAAATCCAATGCTACGTAGCTTTAGATGTTCTAGTTTTTGTTCAAATCGATAAATTTGACATTTTGAGGGAGACATTTGAATGTCCTAATCGACGTGTTTTACTTTTTGCTATGTATGTACCAGGGAGGTCACCGAGGAAATCAAAACTTGATAGATGGCTAATGTGCTGGTGGGCTTTCACGGGCCTTACACACTTGATACTCGAAGGCTATTTTGCATTTGCGCCTGAGTTCTACAAGGATGAGACTGCTTGGTACCCGGCTGAAGTTTGTAAGTTCTGTCCCACATTTTTGTTTAATCTATAAGATTAGCATTGGATACGGGTTGTGCAGTTTTTCAACTGTTAGGGCTTGTTCGATTATATAGTTCTTATGCTGATAGATAAAAAATTGGCAGGGAAAGAGTATAGCAAAGGTGATTCAAGATATGCAGCTAGGGATGCAGGCGTCGTTGCTGTCGAAGGATTAACTGCGGTTATTGAAGGTCCCGCTAGCCTTCTTGCTGTGTAAGATTTTGAGTTTTGATTATCGCAAAGTTTATATGCTGCACAATGTAAAATTTGATTTTCAAATTCCAATCTCAAACTAGAATGTATATCGTATGGGCAGTCATCTTCTTATCTGTAATTCTAAACATGATTTCTGATCTTTGGCAGGTATGCAATATCTAAAGGCAAGTCATATAGCTACATACTTCAGTTTGCCATTTCGTTGGGTCAGCTCTATGGAACTGCTGTGTACTTCATAACAGCCTACTTGGACGGTGACAAATTTGCTACAAGTTCGTTTTACTACTATGCATACTACATTGCTGCAAACGCCTCCTGGGTTGTAATACCGACACTCATTTCCATCCACTGTTGGAAGAAGATTTCTGCCGCAGTACAAGTTCAAGGCCAAGGCCAAGGCCAGAAAAAGAACAAAACTCGCTGAGGTTGACTTCAGATCGATGGAAGATTTTTGTCGTTTCACGTTATGCTAATGTCTTTATTGAAATAATTTGGATCATGAAACTGTCAATCAAGCATTTCAATCTGTAAAGATGTTTTTTTTTTTTGTAGTTTTGACCGCAAAGCTTTATAAACGATGAATGGTTTCTTGCGCTGAGATTAATTGTATGGATTTGATTGTTTGATACTGCTCATATGTTTGGAAGGGGAAAGTTACTTGGATTTAAAGTTTTGTTGTCAGCTAATAGGACTGATCTCTTATGCGAGTCTGTAGATTTATTACATTTTCATGGGAAGGATAGGTTCGTTGTGTTTATTGACTTGCTGTTCATGTCTGGTGTCGGACCGAAGAATTTCTCCTGTTTTTGGGGAGAATCTTGCATACCACCAGGGCCCTATAACACTCGCCGCGTATTCCCGGGGTAGCCATGACTCCCCGTCCTAGGAGCTGTGCGTCATGACCATATTTTCTCTTCTTCGAGAAAACAATGAGAGACAAAAACCATGGACCTCATGACTGTAAAACGCAGTTGCTCTGTTTTCCAAATGTGCAAAGGGTTGTTGTCACAGTCCTGCTTCATTGAGGTGAAGGACTTACCAATCTAACCCAAGAACGTCATTGTGGGCTATGGCGTCCCAAAACAATGATACAATGTCATGTGTTTTAACTTTGTTACATATTATTGTATTAATGGTCCAGGAAACTATAATGATATTCCGGAGTGGGGAGAAATCCCTCTCCTCGTTGAGAGACTAATGCGACTATAATTTGTGTGTTCACATTGAGGAATTTGCAATTAAGTCTGGTGGTCTGTTATCGTAAAATCAACGGTAAAGCGGTCAATGATTGCAAGTCTGGTGGGTCGTTATCGCATGATCAACGGTGGTGGTTACGTGTCTAAACTATTTATGGGACACTGTTTTTTCAATGGTTTAATCCGTACAAATTTAGAAAATGCTACCTAGCTATAACGTATAAGACCAAAACAAAACCACTCCTGCCTCTCTGTGTCTCTCCCAGGTTTTTTCAGAATGTCCACAGCTGAGAAAATCGGGCACCTGAAAGACTGCAGCTCCATAGAACTGAAGGTAATCTCCTGCAAGGATCTCAGTGCCTTCAATTTCTTCAACAGGCTGTCCGTCTACGCTGCTGTGTCCATCTTCAACGACGAAGTGAAGAAAGAAGAACAGAAGAAACATCTGCAGCAGCGCCAGAAGACGCCGGTTGATAGAGAAGGGGACTGCAATCCTGAATGGAACCACCCCATGCAATTCGACACGAAGGACTTGTCCCTGGTTGACGAGTTTGATAATCTCTTTGTAGAATTCGACATACGATGTGACAGCGTCTTTGGCAAGAAGAGCATTGGAAAAGTCCGGGTGCCGTTCGCGGACTTGATCGATGATCAGTGCAATGAAGCGGTCAGGTTCGTGAGCTACCAGGTTCGGACAAGCGATGGTAAGCCTAATGGGGTCTTGAACTTTTCTTACAAGGTGATCAAGAAGAACACTAAAGTTGGAATCCATGATTCCCAGGAATCGGATTCCTCGTCCAAATTAACCACAGCCAGTGTTTATCCTGATCCTGCTGATAATACAGTCCAATCTCTTTACCCCACCTTGGACGTGCAAGTGCAATCCCGGGATATAAACGTATCCTATCCTTCGCTATCCGATGTTCGGGCTCCTTTGCCGACAATTTCAGTACCTTCTCCCAAGTTCAATTGCCATTGGAGGCCAGAACCCTACAACATGAAGACGCTGCCATCTCAGCTCCCGTTTTCTCCGCCAGCAACTGGGCCTGCAGGTGCTAATTGTCATCCATGTCAGCCCTTGCCATTTGCACAGCCTCCAACTCCAAGGCCATATTTTGGTAATTACAGTTGCTATGAGAATCCGACCGGGACTTGAGAATTTGGAATGGTTGAGATTAGCATTGTTCATGATGGGTGGAGGATTAGTAGTCCAGGCATTAGAAGTAGCGATGTAATCCTTCCAGTCCCAGAGTTGCAGACTAGGAATGGCACGGTTAGTAACTCATCAGTTTAGTTCATGAGGGCTTATAGACGTACTTGCACTTCATCATTTTGTGAAATAAATGCATGGTTTTTTACTACAGTAGATATATGATATATGAGATGCACCCATGTCGAACGATTATATTGTCCAATCCAGGTATTGCAAAATTTCGTATAAATGCATGTTTGATTTTCCATTTTTATTCCGATGTTCATTTTCTCGATTTGTCGACGGGTTGTGACCTCGTGATTTTTGTAAATATGACGGTACTAGCTTGGCAGCCTCTCCTTTTGGATTTATTTGAAGTGTGCTGTATTCACTGCCTTTTTTCTAAATAATAGTGTATAGTCACTAGTCAGGGTTCGGCTGCAGGGCTGTAGTTTTTGGTGTCTTCTTGATTTTAGGTCGGATTGATGTCTTTCTGATAGGACTACTGAAGGAGCCGCCACCCCCTGCGCTAATGAGAATTCCTTTTGTCATTGCATGCATAGATACTTACATGCTGGTGTATACACTCGGTGACTCACCTCCTTCTCGATGGAGTAAATCTTGTATATCACTGGACATGGGTGTATGTAGTTTATGACAATACGAAATTTTCCCTCAATACACCCCAAAAGGTTTCTAGACCAAGAAGAAGCTTTATAATTGAATATGGACCCATAGTGCATAAAGTATTTTGAATTAGTTGTTAATTAACCACCCACTTGAGAAGAGAAAGGGAAAGAAGTACCGCAATTGTTCAAAGGAACTTGAAGGCTTTTCTTGTCCATTCTGGACTTGAAAAAAATGTGAATTTTTCTGTCATGCTTATCACCGGTTACTATAAAACTGTGAATATATCAAATCCTAGAGTGTCCGAAGACCACTTCGATAATGTTTGACAAAAATTTTGAGTGTTTTTACCGTTTTTGAGGAAGGACTTAACATTTTTAGTGTGTTTATAATTTAAATATTTTTAACCGAAACGCTTATAAGCAAGTGTTTTCTACAAAATAGTCTGACACGAGCCTTCAAGGATAACTTAACTTCATTAAATTAATCTAGTCATTG